ACGCATTTTGATAAAATAAATAAATGTTTACGTTCAAATGCCTCTCCTGTGAAGTAGTGACGTGTCTCTAAACGACGGAGCCTGTCGGACAAACAGAGAACAGGCATGTAGCAGAACACTTTCCCTCTGTGTGTGTGTGTGTGTGTGTGTGTGTGTGTGTGTGTGTGTGTGTGTGTGTGTGTGTGTGTGTGTGTGTGTGTGTGTGTGTGTGTGTGTGTGTGTGTGTGTGTGTGTGTGTGTGTGTGTGTGTGGATGTGTGTGTGTGTGTGTGTGTGTGTGTGTGTGTGTGTGTGTATGTTTGTGTGTATGTTTGTGTGTGTGTGTGTGTGTGTGTGTTGTGTTTGTGTGTGTGTATGTTTGTGTGTGCGTGTGGGTGTGTGTGTGTTGTGTGTGTATGTTTGTGTTGTGTGTGTGTTGTGTGTGTTTGTGTGTTGTGTGTGTGTGTGTGTGTATGTGTTGTGTATGTTTGTGTGTGCGTTGTGTTTTGTGTGTTGTTGTTGCTGTGTGTGTGTGTGTGTGTGTGTGTGTGTGTGTGTGTGTGTGTGTGTGTGTGTGTTTGTTGTGTATGTTTGTGTGTGCGTTTGTTAGCTAACAGAGCAGGCATGTAACAGCAGAACACTTTACCCTGTCTGCCACCTCCTATTGATTGAAGAACACTGACTGGTGGCAAGACGGCAAACATATTCTCTTATGTAACAGAATCTAATATTCATCCTGTGGTTATAGTTGGTTGCCAGGACGCGTTAGTATAGAAGCATAAATAATCTATCATTATTTAAAATAATACATCTTATAATGTCCTCTCTTCATTTTGCTCCTCTATTCATGACTCACACCTTGATTTCAGAGCGAGGTTGCAAACTGTTTCCCCCCCATTTAGTTATGTTGTCATTGTCCTATATATATCCTGAAAGGGTGAAGGACCTCCTCAGTGTAAGAGGATGAGTAATGGAGGCGCTGTATAGAGCTGTCCCTCTCTGTCTCTCTCTCTCTCTCCCTCTCTCTCCCTCTCCCTCTCCCTCTCTCTCTCTCTCTCTCTCTCTCTCGCTCTCCATTATGTCTGTCTCTATTTCCTGTCTAACCAGCCTTGTCCTGAGCAGCTGTCAGAGGTAAGAGGTAGGAACCAGAGAGGGAGGGAAATTACCTCTATCCATCAGAGGATGTTTCATTATCACTCAATGGATGTTTACAAAATTATGTGTTGTTACACATGCAATTAAAACACAGACCCATTTGGAATATAGTTTAGTTTACTCCTATCTCTCAATGCAATGAAGCGGTATTGTGAAAATGATGCACATAATTCTTTAGAAGTGTGATATCTTAGTGCCCTCTGGTGGTGATGACTATACTATGTAACATAATTTAATATTCATCCTGTGGTTATAGTTGGTTGCCAGGACGCGTTAGTATAGAAGCATAAATAATCTATCATTATTTAATATAATACATCTTATATAATGTCTATTTCCAAGAGTTTCTCCTCTCTGTTAGCTAACACACACACACAAACACACACACACACACACACACACACACACACACACACACACAAACACACACACAAACACACACAGAAACACACACACACAGACACACACACACACAGAAGGAAAGTGTTCTGCTATATGCCTGTTCTCTGTTTGTCCGACTGAGGAGGTCCTTCACCCTTTCAGGATATATATAGGACAATGACAACATAACTAAATGGGGGGGGAAACAGTTTGCAACCTCGCTCTGAAATCAAGGTGTGAGTCATGAATAGAGGAGCAAAATGAAGAGAGGACATTATAAGATGTATTATATTAAATAACGATAGATTATTTATGCTTCTATACTAACGCGTCCTGGCAACCAACTATAACCACAGGATGAATATTAGATTCTGTTACATAAGAGAATATGATCTTAGGGCATTTTAGCTGGGTCAATACGGACCGCTAGTCCGGACCCAGAGCGGGGTCAATACGGACCGCTAGTCCGGACCCAGAGCGGGGTCAATACGGACCGCTAGTCCGGACCCAGAGCGGGGTCAATACGGACCGCTAGTCCGGACCCACATCGGGGTCAATACGGACCGCTAGTCCGGACCCAGAGCGGGGTCAATACGGACCGCTAGTCCGGACCCAGAGCGGGGTCAATACGGACCGCTAGTCCGGACCCAGAGCGGGGTCAATACGGACCGCTAGTCTCCCCCCCCCCCCAACAAAAAGGAACTCAGTCGGTAATAGTTGTAATAGTAGAATGCACAAGGTTCCATCTGGAAATGTACTAGTGGATGGGCAGGTTCTCTTTCCATGCCATTCCCTGACAGACCTTAGAGAGCTTTTTATAACCTTTCACATTTCCAGTTGATCAACTACTGGCCATGTTAGCTAGATGGGTAAGTTAGGCTAACCAGCTATCTACATATTGTAGTCATCATGGCCAGATTATGTGACTAGGGGCCTCGGCCCCCAGAGGGCCCCTTTTGATTTAGTTGAGTCTTCTGTCGTTTGTCTTTCACAGGTATCATGACACACATAAGACATGGCATAATGTGTAGAATTGTACAGAATGAGCTTTAAAAACGGCAAAATGTTCTCTCTGCTAACAAAGAGAGATGGGAAGAGTTTTAACAGTTTGGGGTCGCGAGGTGGGGGCTTGTTACTATGCCGATAAATGACAATATATATCCGGACGTTTGCCACCCAGGACATTTGTGTGACCAGACCTTCTCAAATGGAGGGAAGAGAGAGATGGAGATTTTCTGTTCAATGTTATGCCTTTAGGACAAATGTCGTAGGTGGCAAAGGTCCGGATGGATGGTCATTTATCGGCATAGTAACAAGCCCCCACCTCGTGACCCATGTGACCCCAAACTGTTCAAACTCTTCCCATCCCTCTTTGTTAGCAGAGAGAACATTTTGCCGTTTTTAAAGCTCATTCTGTACAATTCTACACATTATGTAACATTGAACAGAACATCTCCATCTCTCTCCTTCTCCTCCTTCTGTCTCCTCTTCTCCATCTCTCTCCTTCTCATCCATCTCTGTCTCCTCTTCTCCATCTCTCTCCTTCTCCTCCATCTCTGCTGTTGTGGCTCAGTGTAGTGAGTTGGTGAGATTTCTGCTGGGGAGAAGAGGACTTCACAGCCATCTGTGCTGCTACAGCTGGGTGCTGCTTCAGCCTGCACACCACACATGCCAGTCCCAGAGAAAGCTCAGTGATCACACCACACACAAGCACACACACACACACACACATCATAGACTGTTTTCTCTGCTACCGCACAGCAAGCGGTACAGATGCACCAAATCTGGAACCAACAGGACCCTGAACAGCTTCTACCCCCAAGCCATAAGACTGCTAAATAGTTAACCAATAGCTACTATCTGCATTAACCCTTCTGACTCTTCATAGGCTGCTGCCACTGTTTGTTATGAATCATTTTGCCTAGTTACTTTATTCCTACCTATATGCATACTGAACAAAAATATAAACCCGACATGCAACAATTTCAACGATTTTACTGAGTTACAGTTCATATAAGGCAATCAGTCAATTTAAATAAATTAGGCCCTAATTTATGGTATTCACATGAGTGAGCAGGGGGGCAGCCATGGGTGGGCCTGGGAGGGCATAGGCCCACCCACCTGGGAGCCAGGCCCACCCACTGGGGAGCCAGGCCCAGCCAATCAGAATGAGTTCTTCCCCACAAAAGAGCATTATTACAGACAGAAATACTCCTCAGTTTCATCAGCTGTCCGGGTGGCTGGTCTCAGACGATCCCGCAGGTGAAGAAGCCGGATGTGGAGGTCCTGGGCTGGCGTGGTTACACGTGGTCTGCGGTTGTGAGGCCAGTTGGACGTTCTGCCCAAATTCTAAAATCACTAAATAAGTAATAGGAAGCCATTTGGGACAAATCTATTGGCTCAGATGAGACCAGCCAGCCGCAGCAGTGACGGCGCCGTGTCAGTGCGTAATCCGTTATCATTCATCACCCCCCCCCCCCCCCCCTCTCCTGTCGTCTATGTGCTCTATCTGTTCTTCATTATTGATCACAGGAGGATGGGTTGATAAGGGCATATCAGGAGGATGGGTTGATAAGGACATATCAGGAGGATGGGTTGATAAGGGCATATCAGGAGGATGGGTTGATAAGGACATATCAGGAGGATGGGTTGATAAGGGGCTATCAGGAGGATGGGTTGATAAGGATTCATCACAGGAGGATGGCGTTGATAATGGACAGATCATCACAGGAGCGATGGGTTGATGAGGGCATACCAGGAGGATGGGTTGATAGGCATCACAGGAGGATGGGTTGATAAGGGCATATCAGGAGGATGGGTTGATAAGGGCATATCAGGAGGATGGGTTGATAAGGGCATATCAGGAGGATGGGTTGATAAGGGCATATCAGGAGGATGGGTTGATAAGGGCATATCAGAGGATGGGTTGATAAGGGCATATCAGAGGATGGGTTGATAAGGGCATATCAGTAGGATGGGTTGATAAGGGCATATCAGGAGGATGTGTTGATAAGGGCATATATGGAGGATGGGTTGACAAGGGCATATCAGGAGGATGGGTTGATAAGGACATATGTGGAGGATGGGTGGATAAGGGTATATCAGGAGGATGGGTTGATAAGGGCATATCAGGAGGATGGGTTGATAAGGGCATATCAGGAGGATGGGTTGATAAGGACATATCAGGAGGATGGGTTGATAAGGGCATATCAGGAGGATGGGTTGATAAGGCATATCAGGAGGATGGGTTTTATAAGGCATATCAGAGGATGGGTTGATAAGGGCATATCAGGAGGATGGGTTGATAAGGGCTATATCAGGAGGATGGGTTGATAAGGGCATATCAGGAGGATGGGTTGATAAGGACATATCAGGAGGATGGGTTGATAAGGGCATATCAGGAGGATGGGTTGATAAGGGCATATCAGGAGGATGGGTTGATAAGGGCATATCATCACAGGAGGATGGGTTGATAAGGGCATATCATCACAGGAGGATGGGTTGATAAGGGCATATCAGGAGGATGGGTTGATAAGGGCATATTAGGAGGATGGGTTGATAAGGACATATCAGGAGGATGGGTTGATAAGGACATATCAGGAGGATGGGTTGATAAGGGCATATCAGGAGGATGGGTTGATAAGGACATATCAAGAGGATATGTTGATAAGGGCATATCAGGAGGATGGGTTGATAAGGGCATATCAGGAGGATGGGTTGATAAGGGTATATCAGGAGGATTATTCTAAAACCACAGCTCCTTGAAGACAGTAAAACTATGATTCTAAACCAGAGCTGTACTATTTAACCTTCTCAGCAACACCCTACTTCCTCTCACTAAGACAGTTCAAATAAATGTAAGTTATTCCTCCAAGGTGCCAGACGTTGGGGAAGCAGTCATCTTTGCATTAAACTCAGTCTTAACAACCAAAGCCAGTGTGCTGTTACTTAAACCATAAACAACTCTACTTCCACTCTGCATAGTGAAGTGGTATGGCCATAAAACACTGTGGTCTGGAGGGTTTGACATACAGTTTTGGGGATTATACAGACTCTTTCACACACACACACACACACACACACACACCCTTTATCTCTGAACTAGCACGGCTCTGGCCATTAGAAGGAATTATTCCAGTCGTATATTTTAGGACCAGTACTCTCCTTTCGTCCATTGAAGTTCCCCCATAATAGAGACTCCTGGCTTTCGGCCTGACAGTGGAGAAAATAGATGATCATTATAAGAGGGTAAAGGTAATGGGCTATATTTCACATACTTCCTAGCGCCTACACAGTACAGATCAATTACATTTTCCATTCATTGACAGTTCACCAATGGATTCTTATACATATAAATTGTTAATCTGTGTGCTTTTCTCAGAGAGGGCAAATGATAGTTCTGTAGTACCCAACTCACTGCTGACCTAAAACAAAGAACCCTTTTCATTTAGAATACGTAGCATCGTTGCTTTAGTTTTACACTAGGCGTTTCCATTTGGAGGATGTAGCTACTTACATCACCACTAGATGGTGCTGTCACACTTTATAGGTATTTCACAGCCTATATGTGTAGCGTATTTGTATGTAGCTTATGTCCTTCTGTAGCCGCACTTAAATTGACATTTGACCCATGCTTTCCTTTCATCTATGTTTAATTGTAAATTGTTGCACAGAGCTGATCTCTTAACGTTAACAAGGTCCAATGAGTCACTGATTGAAACTGTTTTACCGTGGAAGACGTTTTGACAATTGTAGCAACGTTCTCTGCCATTTCGATAGTTGTTCGCCCGTGAAAAGGAAATTAAATGTATATGAGGCAATGCCGATTCATTTGGTTTAGTTTGTTGCCAAACCTTTTGTTTACAGCTCCAAACTACTCTTTCCATTCAAGTGATCATGTTTAAGAATGAACACTAAAGTTAAGCTAAATAAACAAAACATTAGCTTTGTTTGTCCTTGTAATTAGAGGGGGTCTTTGTGTTTCTTGTTTGGAGATGGCGACAGGTAAATGGAGGTGAGTTTGAGAGCGCCATGTTTAAACTGTGTTGTGGTTCACGCCAACCTGTTGATTGTCCCCGGGGGGGAGGATAATTGGATAACATTGAATTAATATGTTCCATGGTGAAATGCAGCTTCATCTTCTTCTATGGTATAATGGCGTTCGCAAACAATTGGATGTGCATTCCGCCACCTACTGTGCGGGTCGATAATAAGGATCCCAAAAAAAGGAAATAATGTTACAAAAAAAACAAAAAAAACATTTATTTTAAACTACATTTTAGTCATTTAGCAGACGCTCTTATCCAGAGCGACTTACAGTTAGTGAGTGCATAAATTTTTCATACAGGCCTCCCGTGGGAAACAAACCCACAACCCTGGCGTTGCAAACGCCATGCTCTACCAACTGAGCTACAGGGGACAAACTAAACAAAATCATCCTGCTTTTCTGTAAAAAAACACACACATTCGAATCAGGCGCATACAGACTCAGAAGCCTCCTGTGAGGGCGGGACATTTCGACAATAGAGGTTGCAGTGCCTCTGCCGTGAAGTCTTGAAGCCCCAAAAACATATCGGCTGCAGATATAATGATAATAATATATAATAATATGCCATTTAGCAGACGCTTTTATCCAAAGCGACTTACAGTCATGCGTGCATACATTTTTGTGTATGGGTGGTCCCGGGGATCGAACCCACTACCTTGGCGTTACAAGCGCCATGCTCTACCAGCTGAGCTACAGAGGACCACATGATGTCCAGCTTCTTGGACTTCTTAAGACACTTGTGCTGTACAATTAATCACTGTGGCTATAGATGCTACAAAATCCACCTTCTTCACAATGAGTGTATCCAGATCAGTTGATTGACTTAAAACATTAGCAACTGTTTGCCATGCATCCAGTGGTGGATAAAGATACCTTAATAGAAAATGACTCAAGTAAAAGTCACCCAGTAAAATACTACTTGAGTAAGTAAGTCTAAAAGTATTTGGTTTTAAATATACTTAAGTATCAAAAGTAAATGGAATTGCTAAAATGTACTTAAGTATCAAAAGTAAAAGTATTAATAATTTCAAATTCCTTATATTATGCAAACCAGACTTTTTTTAAATTGACTGATAGCCAGGGGCACACTCCAACACTCAGACATAATTTACAAACAAAGCATTTGTGTTTAGTGAGTCTGCCAGATCAGAGGCAGTAGGGATGACCAGGGATGTTCTCTTGATAAGTGTGTGAATTAGACCATTTTCCTGTCCTGCTAAGCATTCAAAATGTAACGAGTACTTTTGGGTGTCAGGGAAAATGTATGCAGTAAAAAGTGCCATTATTTTCTTTAGGAATGTAGTGAAGTATAAGTAAAAGTTGTCAAAAATATAAATAGTAAAGTAAAGTACAGATACCCCAAAAAAACTACTTAAGTAGTACTTAAAAGTATTTTTACCTAAGTACTTTACACTACTGCAATGCATCCACCGCCATATCTTCAACACTGTGGCCTCTTTCCCACTCTCTTCACCGCCTCCACATAGGAGATCAGCTGTACAGATCTGATCCAGAGCACTCAAGGAAGTCCGGAGGATGATCCCCACCACAGCTGCAACTTTTTCCATTCATTGATTCTTCAATACCATACTTCTCCTGTCTCCAAACATTTGACACGTTACAGTATCCTTTACAGTTCCCACACTGTAATGGTTTGGACACAAATGCTCTCACCACATACCTCACATATCCAAGCTTCACATATTCAGGCAGAGTCTCCTCAAACAAACAATAATATCGACAGGCTTTTCTCCATCCTTCCATTTACCGTACGGGTCAGGCGACGTGCACTGACCACTCCTGGGATTTTCTGACGAAGGTACTCAACATCTATATCCAACGAGACTCCGGCTATAACTCCTTTGGCAGGCGCCCTGCTCCGAAGAGCAATACATGTTACTTCTGACGTGGACAGTTTTTCCAGATCCAGTGCACGTTTCTTCTGTTCTTCATCGACACAATGAACCGAAACAAGGCCGCTTCTAGTCACCTTGATTGAATCCTCCTTCCCCATTGCTCTCTTCCCAGTACAAATGGATTTCCCAAATTAACCTCCTTGTCCAAAAAACGCAGTCCAATAAGAAATGCATTATGGGACAGGTCCTTGTCTTCTACTACAACTTATACTCATTTTGTTCCGTTCTTTGATTTCTCTATTTTCCGTTTCATTGTCACACACTTCACTTGCCGCACTTTCAGACTCAAGCAACAATTCCATGGACGCTGCCATTTTGGAACAGTCATCCATCTCCTGTTTACAATCTCGCTGACTTTTCAGTTTCCAAGCCATTCTAATGCAATGCTACCCAGCTTGTTCTGGTGAAATGCATTATGGGTAAAAGGTATTTTAACCCCTCATTTCCTGTTTGGGTCAGACAGGAAGTTTGGGCAAAACGTGTTGCTGCTCACGCAAATCCCTATCAGGCATTATTGAGGCCTGGGTTAGGTCTGACTAGTTGATTTATGTCCAGTTTGTTTATTATTTTGTAAATATTGCAAGTACTTTTTGGCGCCTATTCATTCTTCACTTTTGCTAATAAAAGTCCTCACCAGAAAAAAACGTACCATCCTTAGTCTGACTTCTCACTGCAACGCCCACCACAACGGGCATATCTCAAAGTTGCACATCGTTGTTTTTTTTCCTTTCTTCAGTGACATACTTTATACGTTTATGTTATGCACAAGAGTGGACCCCATGTCACTCAGGTCAAAAGTCAACTATGTAGGGAATAGGATGCCATTCGCTGTCTATAAATGTTCAGATGATAGCCAATCTCTACATGTATTCTTTCTGAATCTCCTCCTATAGCCAGAAACGCCTGTTTGATTTGTCACGGGGATCATCTTCAAAACTAGAATGCTCCAGTCACAATCTGGCAAGCACAGATCTGCTGCTGGAGGCAGAGACAGCTAGCTGTAAATGGGCTGCTGCTGGAGGCAGAGACAGCTAGCTGTAAATGGGCTGCTGCTGGAGGCAGAGACAGCTAGCTGTAAATGGGCTGCTGCTGGAGGCAGAGACAGCTAGCTGTAAATGGGCTGCTGCTGGAGGCAGAGACAGCTAGCTGTAAATGGGCTGCTGCTGGAGGCAGAGACAGCTAGCTGTAAATGGGCCTGTAAAGATGGAATTGTAGAGCTGGACGGCAAAACTGTGGAAAATCCTCGGGTAAGAAAATACAAATAAATATAATTTCATTGAACCTTGAAGATAGTTTTGGTGTGCCTCCTGGTGAGATTAGTAGAGAGAGAGAGAGAGAGAGAGAGAGAGAGAGAGAGAGAGAGAGAGAGAGAGACAGACACATGGACACCACAGGTCAAAGAGGGAGTCCTGACCTGGCAGAGCCCGACATCAATATAATAATAAACACTAGTCTCCTAGTCTATATCTCCAACCCCACTTCACCCCCCAAATAACTGGGGTCAACCCCAGAAACCTTCACTTTCACCCTCTGATCCTCATACCAAACTATGAGAAACACATACACACACACAACTTTGTTATCAACATTCTGAGCTATAGGGAATAGAACCAAGACATAGCACATATCCTGTTTACTCTTTGCCTACCATATGTAATGTCCTCCAGTGTTTGAAATCTAAGATCAGTCACGGAGGGGAGGGTTAGGGGGGGGTTGTGGATCCCATGGATACCTAATACCCTACGTGCTCCAGGGCCAAAGAGAAGAAACAGAGTACTATTGGATTAGATACCAAAATAGGGCTGCTGTTTGTTTTAATCAGTGACACAGGGAGCTTTTGAAAGCACAGGGGGAAGAGAGTCTGGAGGGAGAGATTGAGAGGGGGGGAGGTCGGGGTGAATGGTCCCCCAAACCCGGGCGGTCTGGGGGGTGGCTAGCCACGGAGAGTTCACAGCCAACCATGGAAGCCACTCACTCACACAACTGTGAGTATGAGCATAAAAGGGAATTCACCATGACAACTGAAGGCTGACAAAGATATTGATCAACAGTACTTATGAACAACATCCATCCATGTTTTTTTATTTATATATATATATATATATATATATATATATATATATATATATATAGTGTCAGACCATTGCAGTGAAAGAACATTCCAAAGAAAGTGAATGGATAGAGCAGCCCACTGGGATAGCCGGAATGGATAGAGCAGCCCACTGGGATAGCCGGGATGGATAGAGCAGCCCACTGGGATAGCCGGGATGGATAGAGCAGCCCACTGGGATAGCCGGGATGGATAGAGCAGCCCACTGGGATAGCCGGGTTACTAAACGTTTGGCTAGTATCAGTGGCTAGATGAGAAGTGTAGTCATCTCTCTGCATCTCTCTCTATCTCATCTCCATCTCTCTCTCCTCATCGCTCTCGCCAGATCTAGCAGTCTCAGTCTCCCTCTCTCTCTCCATCAATCTCATCTCATCTCATCAAATCTCATCTCATCTCATCCATCTCATCTCATCTCATCTCAGGTTATGATAACTAATACTGACAGAGATGAGACACTACATGAAACAGATGGCTCTGAAAACAAGATCTGGCCTGTTATCACCAGCCCCAACAATCTGTATTACAACCATCCAATCTGTTGTCATTCCACCTATACCGTGTCATGTTAAATTACCCAGAGACCTCTATCTAACTGGTAGCCTCGGCTTGACCAGTTAGAGAGAGAGAGAGATCAGCAAAATAATCCTCCCCGCTCCTCTGCCAGAAAGAGAGAGAAGATAAGAGAAGATAAGCCGCGAAGAGAAGCACGAAGAGAAGAGAAGTCTCCTCTCCTCTCCTCTCCTCTCCTCTCCTCCTCCTCTCCTCCTCCCTCTCCCCTCCCCTCCCTCCCCTCCCCTTCCCCCTTCTCTCTCCTCTCCTCTCCTCTCCTCACCTCCTCTCCCTCCTCTCACCTCCTCTCACCTCCTCTCCTCTCCTCTCAACTCCTCTCACCTCCTCTCACCTCCTCTCCTCTCCTCTCCTCTCCTCTCCTCTCCTCGTCCTCTCCTCTCCTCTCCTCTCTCTCCTCTCCTCTCCCTCCCTCCTCTCCTCTTCCCCCCCACCATGAATATCCACTTACAGTTCAGTATAGTATCTTCCCACAGCCATTGTGTGGAGTGCCATGAGTCTGGCTAGTGAGTTCAGCTAATCCAACCACTCGGAGAGAATAGAGGAATGACTCTCAATCATAGACACAGAGAAAGGAATGAATCATTTCAATACTGACGGTTTTTAGCGGTCCAAGCTTAGAGGTCAGAGTGATGTGTTTGCTGAAAGGTCTTCTAAGGCAGAGAGAAGGTGGCCAACACAATTTTCCATTTGCAGCTGCTTTCTATTCTGCAATGTGCAGCATAATTCTAAAACAGTTTATTTTTTATTCAACCACTTCAGTACCCCAACGTCTTTCTCCTTCTCTGGAAGAGGCAGAGTTCTCACAACATGTTCTCTTCTCTGATGAAGTCACTTAGTCTGATTCACTTAGCTTCGTTCTCTCCTCAGGTTCTGAGTTGTGGCTGTGTGATTACAGTGTGTCAGAGTTCCCTTAAACTCCCCTTTCTCAGAGCTGTGTGGGGACCTGTGGATATGAAGGCTCTTCTCCGCACAGTCTCTCACCGATTGCGAACGTAAAGGTTACAAAGGTCTGCTGTTACGCTGGAGCCAAACAATGTTTCTGTTGCTGTCTTTTTTTCTGATTTCCAGCACAGAGAAACAGCGTTCTGTGTGTGTCTGTGTGTGTGTGTCTGTGTGTGTGTGTGTCTGTGTGTGTGTGTGTGTCTGTGTGTGGCTGGTAACACATCCTTACGCTTGCTGTGTGTGCATTAGATAAAGAAAGAGGGTGAGGGGGATTTGAGACTAAGGACCATATTGAGGGTCAGTAGTGGGTCTGAGACTAAGGACCATGTTGAGGGTCAGTAGGGGGTCTGAGACTAAGGACCATGTTGAGGGTCAGTAGGGGTCTGAGACTAAACATTGAGGACGTTAGGGGAGAAGCCAGTAAAGTCTCCCATTCTAGCCAGTGTCTGGGTGGCTGTTGTGGGGTCATGCCCCCTGTGCCTGGGCCCTCAGGGCAGCAGGAGCAGAATGGAGTAGAGCTGTATATATATAGAGCAGGGTTTTTCAACCTATGGGTTGGGACCCAAAGTGGGCCCTGGGCATTTGAGCAGTGGGTCGCAAGTTATGAGTAAACATTTATAATCACAGACTATTTCTTCTTAATTTGGGTCGTTCGAGGACAGTACATTTCTCATTTGGGTTTTGAGCTGAGAAAGTTTATGAACCTCTGGACTAGCAGATGAATCGATTAATCTAATTTATCAACCTGCCGTGAGTTGGAGGACTTTGTCTAATTGCAGAGGTGTCTAGTTATCCAGTAAATTAGCTTATGAATTAGATTACACAGTACGTTTTAAATTGTTCAAAATACAGCCTTTTTGCCAGGACATTGTGTGTTGCAATGCCGCGACCCAGATTTCAACCAGGGTCACTGTGGCCACAACGCAGAGTACTAACCACTATACCATCACAGCGAGCTACCAGAGCTTCCTTGCAGAGGTTACTCATGATGGGACAGTGACGTGTACAAGACGGCTAAACGCTTGAGTTGTTAGCCAGTTCAGCTTTACACAGTTGGTACGTTTTAACTCATTTAAAAACTGGCCTTTTTCCGTGACATTGGAATATCTCAATTGCATACTTCTGACGTCCTCTCTCCTCGCCTACTTCTCAAAACCCATTGGATGAGAAAACCAGAGGTCCCTCCCCTCTCACCTTCTCCACAATGAAATGCTTGAAAAGGCACTGCTGAGATTCGAATTCAGGATCTCCTGTTTACTAGACAGGCGCTTTAACCAACTAAGCCACAGCACCAATACATGTAATTTCTATTGTGGGTATGAAAACCCAAACCTATGTTCAATCAAAACAGTCATTCATTTAACCCATATCTCTGTCTTACAAAATCACGTCACAAAAAATGTAATTTCCTAATATTGGAATCGATACGGACACCTTCAATTGATTAGCAAAAGGGTTTCTTAAACTGTGGTTTGGGACCAAAAGTGGTCCCTGAACATGTGAAAGTTGGTTTGCATGTTATGAGTAAAAATTCAGATTCATACAATATTTCTCCTTACTTTGGTGTTGTTCGCAGACAGTAAATCTCTAATTTGAGTGTCGACTGAAATTGGTGAAGAACCTCTGAAAGCTTTCGTTAATGTAACTCATTAACCTAAAATGAGTTGAGGGACTTTGTCAAATGGAAGACTTGATGAGTTTCTTTGCTTACACAGTAAGTTGTAACTCGTTCAAAATACAGCCCTTTTGCCATGACATTGTGAATCACTATGCTGTGACCCGGATTCGAACCGGGGTTGCTGCAGCCACAACGCAGAGTACTAACCACTATACGATCACTGCGAGCTACCAGAGCTTGCTCTTAGAGGTAACTCATGATGGGACAGTGACGTGTACAAGATGGCTAAACGCTTGAGTTGTTAGCTAGTTCAGCTTTACAAAGTTGTTACGTTTTAACTCATTCAAAAACTGCACTTTTTCCGTGAAATTGGATATCTCAATTGCATACTCCTGACGTCCTCTTTCCTCTCGCCACGCCTACTTCTCAAAACAAATTGGATGAAAAAACCAAAGGTACCTCCCCTCTGATCTTCTCCACCAATGGGTACAATGAACAGCTTGAAAAGGCACTGTTGAGATTCAAACTCAGGATCTCCTGTTCACTAGACAGGCGCTTTAACCAACTAAGCCACAGCGCCCATACAGTGGCTTGCGAAAGTATTCAACACCCTTGGCATTTTTCCTATTTTGTTGCCTTACAAAATTGATTTTTTTGGGGTTTGTATCATTTGATTTACAAAATATTTTTTCTTGTGAAACAAACAAGAAATAAGACAAAAAACCAGAAAACTTGAGCGTGCATAACTATTCACCCCCACAAAGTCAATACTTTGTAGAGCCACCTTTTGCAGCAATTACAGCTGCAAGTCTCTTCGGGTATGTCTCTATAAGCTTGGCACATCTAGCCACTGGGATTTCTGCCCATTCTTCAAGGCAAAACTGCTCCAGCTCCTTCAAGTTGGATGGGTTCCGCTGGTGTACAGCAATCTTTAAGTCAATTGGATTGAGGTCTGGGCTTTGACTAGGCCATGCCAATATATTTAAATGTTTCCCCTTAAACCACTCAAGTGTTGCTTTAGCAGTATGCTTAGGGTCATTGTCCTGCTGGAAGGTGAACCTCCGTCCCAGTCTCAAATCTCTGGAAGACTGAAAAAGGTTTCCCTCAAGAATTTCCCTGTATTTAGTGCCATCCATCATTCCTTCAATTCTGATCAGTTTCCCAGTCCCTGCCGATGAAAAACATCCCCACAACATGATGCTGCCACCACCATGCTTCACTGTGGGGATGGTTTCTCGGGGTGATGAGAGGTGTTGGGTTTGCGCCAGACATAGTGTTTTCCTTGATGGCCAAAAAGCTAAATTTTAGTCTCATCTGACCAGAGTACCTTCTACCATATGTTTGGGGAGTCTCCCACATGCCTTTTGGCGAACACCAAACAGGTTTGCTTATTTTGTTCTTTAAGCAATGACTTTTTTCTGGCCACTCTTCCATAAAGCCCAGCTCTGTGGAGTGTACGGCTTAAAGTGGTCCTATGGACAGATACTCCAATCTCCGCTGTGGAGCTTTGCAGCTCCTTCAGGGTTATCTTTGGTCTCTTTGTTGCCTCTCTGATTAATGCCCTCCTTGCCTGGTCCGTGAGTTTTGGTGGGCGGTCCTCTCTTGGCAGGTTTGTTGTGGTGCCATATTCTTTCAATTTTTTTATAATGGATTTAATGGTGCTCCGTGGGATGTTCAAAGCTTCGGATATTTTTTTATAACCCAACCCTGATCTGTACTTCTCCACAACTTTGTCCCTGACCTGTTTGGAGAGCTCCTTGGTCTTCATAGTGCCGCTTGCTTGGTGGTGCCCCTTGCTTAGTGGTGCTGCAGACTCTGGGGCCTTTCAGAAAGAACAGGTGTATATACTGAGATCATGTGACAGATCATGTGACACTTAGGTTGCACACAGGTGGACTTTATTTAACTAATTATGTGACTTCTGAAGGTAATTGGTTGCACCAGATCTTATTTAGGGGCTTCATAGCAAAGGTGGTGAATACATACGCACGCACCACTTTTCCGTTATTTATTTTTGAGAATGTTTTGAAACAAGTAATTTTTTTCATTTCACTTCACCAATTTGGACTATTTTGTGTCAATGCAAATAGCTGTCTGCCCTGCACGTTAACACTAGAAGCTTATTACCTAAAATTGATCAATTGAAAGTGTGGGTTCACAGCTCCAATCCAGATGTGTTGGTCATTACTGAGACGTGGTTAAGAAAGAGTGTTTTGAACACTGATGTTAACCTTTCTTATTATAACCTTTTTCGGCAAGACAGATCTTCCAAAGGTGGTGGAGTGGCAATCTTTACCAAGGAACACCTTCAGTGCTCGGTTGTCTCCACCAAGTCTGTCCCCAAACAATTTGATTTGCTGGTTTTAAGCATTAAACTTTCAAGTAGCTCTTTGTTGACTGTTGCTGGGTGCTATCGTCCACCATCAGCACCGGCCTGTACCCTACCTGCCCTAAGCTCTCTCCTGGCCCCTTACACTAAGTCTGAATGTGTCCTGCTTGGTGACCTAAACTGGGACATGCTTAAACCACCTGAACAAGTCCTAAAGCAATGGGACTCCCTAAATCTTTCTCAGATTATTACCAATCCCACAAGGTATGACTCCAAACACCCAGAAAAGGCTACTCTCCTTGATGTTATCCTCACAAATAATCCTGATAGGTATCAGTCTGGTGTTTTCTATAATGACCTTAGTGATCACTGTTTTACAGCCTGTGTTCGTAACGGCTGCTCAGTGAAACGACCTGTCCTGAAAAACTTTAATGAGCAAGCCTTCCTTTATGACCTGGCCTCTGTAAATTGGTATAGAATCAGCTTGATCCCCTCTGTTGAAGACACTTGGATCCCCCCATAAAGAAAATGAGAATTAAAAACAG